CTAATAAAAAAAAACCCTGTCAAGATACGTCAATTTTTTCGGGAGTTATCGTGGCCACATACAAAATCAATATCCGGACGACCACGTAAATTTTTTTCAAACCATTTTTTATCAAAGTAGGAATATAAAATGATTTTTAGAAAATATAAGATGGATTAATTAGTGTTTTCTTGATATTCGGCTACTCATATTATCGTATAAGTGGAAAATGGTTATGATAGGAGCATTTTAAGACCACAAAATTACTTGACCTTGACGTGTCGAGAGTAATATACTACTAACTACTAATGAGGCTTCGCGTTATGAGGCGTGCAATAATAAGCAGACTCATCAGCTAAATTATTTTATTTCCAAAACTAAGATTTGAAACAGAAAATATTAATAGGTGATATAATATTAATAGATATTTGTGGGTTTTCAGAACATTTATAGCATGTATAGTCGAAACGAATTTTGACTGCTCGAAACTTGTTGGCAGTTTATTTTTATGTATTGATTTCGCGAGTGAAAGTACGTGACTGCTCAACGAACGACAAACAAACAACACTGGACAAGTGAATTACTAACGCCAAAAGTAATTATAAAAGGTTACTGCGCAATTAAAAATCTGCGCTTCCGTAAAACCAGAAATGAATTTTAAAAAGAACGTTTGCAAAGAATGTTTTTGAGCCACTTAATCAAAAATATGCTTAGAACTTTTTCAAAATATTTTTAATTACACTTAAAGTACTTTATTCCAAAAATTAAAGAACTCCATTGTCTTATTTGAGGTTTTTTTAAGTTAATTTACATTCAAATAAAATTCTATTAAATAAATTCTTTTAAATATGTTTAAATATAAAAATAAATAAAATTGAAATGTCTGTTTCTACTGGTAAAATAACAGTTTTTTACTAAATGTATATGAAAGTATATACGATACTACAAAAACACATTTTTTTAAATTTTTGTCTGTCTGTTTGTTCCGGCTAATTTCCGAAACGGCTGCACCGATTTCGACGGGACTTTCACTGGCAGATAGCTGATATTATAAGAAGTAACTTAGGCTACCTATATTTGAGAAAAAGAAATAGGGTTCGCGAATATGCCTAGAAGATCTAGGCGAAGTCGCGGGGAACAGCTAGTGTTAAAATAAAATATGAATACCAAATAGGACAAACTTATCATTTTACAAACACTTGTTTTCAATGAGTTATCATTAGCTATATTGTAAGACACAGTCAAGTTCAGTAGAGATAAGAAATTCGAATAATATTGGCCTCATCCATACCGTCTTTACTCAAACCAACCGAAACTTGGCTAACGTATCTACCGTGTGTATGATATTCTAAGTGTTAGTTTTGTCAGCGTGGAGACTTGAATCCTTTTGAGTACAATTAAATATAATATGATTCAGCAAGAAATTGACATTTATTACTAAATCATATTATATTGAACGTTCTTTGCGTTTAAAAACCAGAAGTAGGATTTCATTGAATAATTTCTTACTTTTTCACTTAAATGCATAAATAATTAAGTGTATTTGTGTAGCTCTTTTTAGAGCTCCCAATTCTAATCGTAAATCACTTCCTGACAAGATCCATCGAGAGCTCTCGCATGGCCAAATATACAGCTTCCAACGAATGCTGCTCTGGCTATGTAATTATCATCTGTAATATTTATTTTATTTTCCTCGCCGTCAGTTGGTTTTAAACAGTACCCTTTGTCCGTCATTACAAGTCCTTCAGGACAGCTAAAGGTCATATTAGTTGTTGGTATATCAAGACGTCTGCTATCCGGAAACAGCATTTGGTCGATGTCTGTTATATTGTCATTTGTTACAGCAATGATTAGATCATTTTCGTGGGTTGACGTGTTGATAGGACCAGGGAATATAATATTCGCATTGACTGTTGTATCAGCTGTTGTAGTACCTGATCCAGGGTTTTGTTCTTTCACGTTTTCTGTCATGTTATAAACGGCGTGATTTGGTTCAGTGTTAGCTTGTATGATTACATTTTTTGTTGGTAGTTCTTGGCCAGTGGACTTATCTTTGCTATTATCAGTGAAAACTGTAGTTGTTTCCCGATCAACGTCTTTTGAAACAGATTGGTTTCCGTTATTTATAACAACAGTAATCTCCACGTTCACCTGCACAGTACTCTTTTCTTTAAAATCGTTTAGTTCACTTAGATTTGAATTTTTCATTGCCGATATGATTTCATCGGTGGACACGATTTGTTGTGCTACATTCCCATCGGAGCCCGATGTATTTGTGTCTGTTTTAATAATTCGGTCTATTCGATTCTCGTCGGTTACATTTGCACTATGTTTCGATATTACATTTTCAATAATTCCAGCTACTTTATTCACTTCACCAGCAGCGGTTTCCACTAAATTCTTAATGACACCACATTCGACGATTGATAAAATTACCAAAATGAGACTGACTATTTTGAGTTTCATTTTAACAAACTGTATAAGTAAATCTTTGTGCGTCCACAAGCGACTATATTCTGCGATAAATAAATAATAACAAATTTGCGTTATCAGTGCCAAGAAGAAACAGGGGATAAATAAGTCACAAATCTGAATTAAAAATATAGGAAATATATCTATAATGAAAAGAGAGAGGGACGAAACGTTTGCTTTAAAATATCACATTACTCAAGCAAACTGAGTTATTTCCTTAGATGTGCTAACTCCTATCATCTTCTCTATTAAATCTAGGATTTTTTGCTATTAATTTAAAATATTCACAGATCATCACTGCAATGATAAGAATCAATGTTCTTTTGCGACAATTCAAGGTCAAGATATCATAACTACAATGACGTTAAACTAGACTAAAAAATTTTGCCCACTATTTTCCAACCCTTAGGCGTGGAATATTTTCTCTAAATTTATTTCAGACTAACTGTAAACTGTTTAATAATAAATTTATAAAAATTGGTTCACAACTGACGAGAATATCAAGTAACATACATACAAAAAAGAACATACGGTCAACAACAGAATATCCGCATTTTTCGAAATCAGGTATAAATTCTTTTATTCTATGTGAAGTATTTAAATAAAGGAGAATGAGATTTTTGGGCCTGAAGTTAACTAAATAGTTTATACTTTAAAAAATTGTCCATATTGTTCTGAAGTAAAATACAAAAAACTAGCTCTTTTTACAATCTAAATTTCGAAAAAACAATAAAATAAGAAATAAGTTGGAAAATCGATTGTAGTGTATTATTTATGGCAATAAATCGATTACCATAAAGAATACACTAGTGAAATTCTCATTTCTTAACGTTATCTTCCAATAGAGGACTTGTCATTTTGAAACTTGACAGTTCAAACTTCAAACTATTTACTTAAAAGAAAAAGACAGATTTTCGATTCGATTTGAAACGAGTGCAATAAAATCGATTCTCGATTAAATTAAGCATTATTATATGTATTTTCGATTATTTTGTTGATATTACCTTTGGCACTTTCTTATAGAATAAGGGTAACAAACGAGCATACAGTACATTTGACGGTAAGTGGATGATGTCGCCATTAGACAACTACATTTATCCTCGATTAAGAATAAAAATGCAGATCCGTTGCCACCCCTGAGGACTAAGATGGGATGCCTCGTTCAAAGTAAAAATCTAATGTGATGATCTTGCACATGTTTACAGACTGCAAACTTCCCGGAGCGTCGGTTATTCACATCAGCTATATCTTTCTTAAGCTACCCATAGCGCCTCTCATGACACCCATTGGACAAAATGGAGTAATGGCTAGCTCTAGCTCTTATGGATCATCTTAAATTTCTATCTCTTCAATTAAAATAATTTTCATAATACAGTTGACAATTTGTGCCGCATCTCCTCAGAGTGACAATATGAACTCTCGACATATGATAATAATTTATACTCGCGTACAGTTATATCTGCATTAATGTAATTACATACATGACTGATTATTCTAATTAAAGATGTTAGAAATGAATTAGCTATGATCCGTATATGAAATAAACTATCCGAGCGAGAGAGAGAGAGAGAGAGAGAGAGAGAGAGAGAGAGAGCGTGCACTATCCCAGTCACCACTAATCCCAATACCACTACACTAGGAAAGACAAAACACCGTCGATAATAATACGACACGTGTTTCGCCTCTAAACAAGGCATCTACAGATAAAAAGACTACACGTTAGCTGACCGTTAAGTCAGTCGCAAGTTACTTAGTAACGCCTGATCCTATTAATGATTCTTTTAATGGCAAGAATGGTGGAGAAATGAAATGCAGCTATGTGTTGGTATACCGAATGCTGCTGTTTCGTATGGCGAGTGATGAGAACCAGAATCCCTTTGACTATAAATAACGCATACCATTTTAGACCTTACGGATGGCAATGCATACATTTTGATTCTTAATCGAGGGTAGATACGACTATACATAGGCCACAGCATTTACTCAGCATGCTAAGCTGAGTTTCTAGTACGATGGTGAAAGGAAACATTTTGAGGAAATGACTGAGAATTGAGAACATTGTAATAAATGCAATGTGGATAAAATATGATGATGAGATAGTGCATGATTTAACACGCACTGGAATACCTTTTTTTAATAGAATAAGGCCGACAAGTGAGCACACAGTTAATCCGATGTTAAGTGGATGCTGTGGCCCATGCTGACATCTCTATATTATATTCTCAATATAGAATCAAAATGCAGATGCGTTGTCACCACTGAGAACTAAGACGGAATATCTCATTTGCAGTAAAAGGGGTCTCCGGTTCTCTACACTCACCATACGATACACAACAGTACTGAGCTGCTGATTCACGCTGGTGTTCTGTGAGAGCGTGGTCCTTCACCGGTCGAGCCGACCCATTCGTGATACAAACATAATATAACTGCAGCGTGGCTCTACCACGTATACGTGAACTTTCCTCTTATCCGGAAACCTTTTAGCATTCCTAATAGTGTTTTAAAGACATATGTAGCCTGTTACCTCACGTTATTTGCACAGTACTTACCGAATTAAATGTCTCTGAAACAGGGTCATACGGGGAGACAACTTCTTTCGGCATCTCTACGAACTGATGTACGATCCCAAGCGGCCCGGTCAGGTCCTCTCCCGGTTGGTTCAGAACTGTCTAAAATTTATAGTTTTTACATTTCGGTAATGTAGCGGTGGTTATTAGTCAAAAATCGCAAATGTACCACTCAAATTCTACAGGGTTACTTTTTCTTTAACTCAAATGTTATTCCGATGGATTATAACCATAGGAATAACATTCGATTTTGTCCAAGGACATCCATTCAATTAATTTTCAGTTAATTGCATTAAGTCCGCCATTTGTATTCTTTTGTTATAAGTTTATAAGGCATGCATTAAAAACAAATAAAAAAAATAAACGTCCATCTTAAACCTTGTCAACCGATTTAGCAGTGGACTTAAAAAGATGTTGGACGAGATTAAGACGATGAATGATTAACTGTGATGAATATTATGTGTTCTTAGTCCATTCTTAGGACTGTTGATATATTTACCTCAGAATATTTGAAATTGTCGCGCCACAATGACGCGCCAGGACTGCCAGTAAATTGTTTATAACTATTAATGTCTTTCAGACCGAGATACGATCACGACGGCCAGTCTGGATTATCTCTTCTTGTCAGGCACGAGTGTGTGCATAAGCACAGGTGCACTCTCTATTCGCTCACTCTTATAGTCCGATGGGACAGTGATAGGAGAAGACCGAAAAGAGATCAGGCGTAGGGTCAACAACTTGACGTCCTTTTCGGGACACGGTGGTGAAATGCCGCCAAATTTCTACTCTCGACCGAGATTCGAACCCGAAGCCACTAGATCATTGACCACTAAATAACGAGGCGGTCATTTTGTAATAGTTACTCACTCGCTCGCCCCGACATATCCATGCATGATGTACCTGACATTTAAACTACATCTATGATTATTCTGACAGTATTGGCCATTTCATCATCAATGTTATAATGTAGTGGCGGCGTGAAAACTTTCATTACTCCATATCATCACGTGGTGTCGTAAGAGGCGACAGAATTAAACAGAAGATGAGCAGTAGCATCTTGATAACAGCACAAAACAATAAAAATCAATGGTTGCCAGCCCGCCTCCGAATCGTGGCAACTATTGCAAATCCCCCCCCCCTACCCCCCCCCCCCCCCCCCGGTGGCAATCTCTGGTGGAGGACTATCTTTAGGACTTTTGATAAACTATCATGAATGAACCGCAAATGACCATTACTCACCATAGCGGTATTGTAGAGCTTGGTGGCGATGATGCGCGTACTGTCGAACATATCAACGCCGGGGCCCGACGCGAAACAACGTTCCTTGTGCATAGTGCACAGCATCTTCTCCTGGTCACACGGCCGGCCAGAGAACTCACAACGGGGTCCCCTTGTGTTGGGAGACACGTCGCCCAAATTCGTCGACGCGAACGCGCATACCACATTTCCCTAAAGGCAGTGTGTGAAATAATTAAAAAAAAATTAAACATGTTTATTTATTTATTTTTAAGACATAAAAACAGCGTAATATTTACAAAATAAAGAAACATTATAGATTTCATAATTTTTTTTAATTATTTTTTTACGTGATAGAGCCATGCTGCTACTATACTAATAGTATAGTTGTAGCAAGAATGGGTCGGCTCGACCGGGAAAGGACGACACTCTCACAGAATACCAGCGTAAAATAGCAGCTTAATGCTGCTATGTTTTGAATGATGAGTGTAGAGAACCGGAGACCTATTTTACTGGAAAAGATGCATTCTATCTTAGTCCTCACGGCTGACAATGCATCTGCATTTTAATTCGCAAACGAGGATAGATGTAGATGTCTATGGGCCATAGCAACCACTTACCACCAGGTGGACTGTGTGCTCGTTTGTCACCCGTATTCTATAAAAATAGGCCAATATTATACGTGGTAGAGCCATGCTGCAGCTGTATTAATAGTATAGTTGTAGCACGAATAGGTCGGCTCGAGCGGGGAAGGACGACGCTCTCACAGAATACCAGCATAAAATAGCAGCTTAATGCTGCTGTGTTTCGTATGGTGAGTGTAGGGAACCGTAGACATATTTTACTGGAAAAGATGCATTCTATCTTAGTCCTCACGGCTGACAATGCATCTGCATTTTAATTCGCAAACGAGGATAGATGTAGATGTCTATGGGCCACAGCAACCACTTACCTTCAGGTGGACTGTGTGCTCGTTTGTCACCCTTATCCTATAAAAAAAAGATTTTAAGTCCTGATATGTATGGCAATAAAATATAAATATTATTGGTCTGAAAAATCTTTAAATATAAAAATCGATAAAAACCAATTGCTATACTTCAGTCTCCCAAAAACTCGAAAATGGCTGGACGTATTTTGATGAAATTTAACCCGGTAGGTGGCGCTGTTGTCGAGATCCAGAAATCACCCGTGCGAAGCCGGGGCGGATCGCTAGTATATTATAATTAAAGCTAAGATATAATTCAAACAAAAGCAAAACCAAAACATTAAAAAGATTTAACTATAATCTATACAATATAAACCTATAAATTTAAATAAGTTAAAAAGCCTGCGCCTTTCAATTTGTAGTAGTTTTAGTAAACTATTTAGTAACCTGTGGTAGTTTAAAATTTAAATACTTTTAATGACATTTTGTATGGGTCAATGGCTGCTTTTGTTTTGGAAAGTTCATTGTATGTTCTACACGTACTTAGCAACGCACAATTTAGTCCTAGATTAGTGGCTTTACGGAAAGGAATGTGGAATGTGTTAGTGAAAGAATATTTAGGCAGTTTAGATGGTACACATTATGATATAAGATTAACCAAATCACTGCATTTGATATTTTCACGAACCACCTTAAATAGAAAAACAAGGTCTTGGAGACTATATGTAAAAGTGTTATCATGATAAAAATTAATTGCATAAGATCTGTATGATAAAAAAAATATGTGTCTTACCTTCCTTGAATTGCGTGCACTATCCCGGTTACCACCGCAGTGTATTCTACCTAATGGTGCCTCGTTTAGGGGCGAAACCCGTATCGTATTACGGTTACGGTGGTGCGTCTTTCGTATTGTTGTTGTGTAGGCAGTAGTGGTGACGAGGATACTGCACGCAATTGAGGGAGGGCGGGAGGTGCTCTTCAAACTACACAAGACATATCATTTTATTTTATGAATGGATGCCCGCAAAGCAACGTCTGTTTCTATAATTAATTAAAAGCTTGGATATCTATGACAACCTAAGTTCTGTGTGGTATCAACGTAAAAGAATCTATTACTTCAGTTAGCCCCATGGGTGTCCGTGAAAGGCGACCATAGAAAATGCCAGAAAAATCTATAGTTTATAGCATCTTTGCATAGTTGCAGCATGGTGCGGACAGTGCGGATGACTGGTCACTAGAAGGTTACTTGCGTGCGTTTGCAAAATACGACTAAAATTTTAATTGTGTAACATTGCACTGAATTTCTTTTAGATTATTTTTTCTATTCTATTATGACTGTTGGATTAAAATTAACTTCAAACTTCTCATCTATCATAGTATTTTTTACTGATAAAATTATAAAAGTTTCATTTATTTCACTTGCGTGCGCAGTTACATACTATGTTTAATTTTTTATAGTATAGATGGTGGTATAATCACCTCGTTTACGTCAAACAAAATGTCCAGACTAGCGTCCAGACGTCTGATACTGTCATCATCAATCCGCCAGCTAAACGTGATAATTAAGGCACATCTTCCCTACAATGGGAGAACGCCATTGGACCTTAACGGGCTGATGATGAAGGATTTATGATAGCTCAAAAAAACTGAACTGAGTCGAGAACCCTATTCCGAAAGCATCCTCACCTTTCCTGGTAAAGTGCTATTCCCATTCAAAGCCTTCTCCATCAGGATGGAAGCGTAACCCACGTTATCCGAGGATATGAGCCGGTTTGTATTGTTCATACTGGTTGGATGGACGGCGAACCAGTTGATGACGCCGATGATATTGTTTTCTTTGCCGAGGAAACGAACCTGCGCCAGGGTTTTGTCTACGTCATATTTGTACCTGCAAAATATGGTAGGATTAATTCTACATACAAAGAATCGGGAGTAGCTCAGAAGTTAAACAATCGCTGTAACTTTACAGTACGCGAACAACACAAGTTCGATTCTCCAGTGTCATTAATCAATCACTGACTTACTCATTAAGGCCCATACAAAGAAAACAATTTCAAAACTACAAATTATCAAAATTCGGCGTTAACAGGTGTTAACAAAATTATTAGTATGATTTAAAGTACTGTACTGTAAATGAAACTAACTGAACCAATAACTTTGTTTTTAGGGTTCCGTAGTTACATAACAAGGAACCCTTATAGTTTCGCCATGTCCGTCCGTCCGTCCGTCCGTCCGTATGTCCGCCCGCGGTTTTGCTCATAGACCCTAGGTGCTACAAATTTGTAATTTGGGATAGTTATAATCCTAAAAAACATTTTTTTTTGGGTACTTCCCATACAAGTAAATGGAGGATGATTTTTTTACCCGTCAATTCCATTATGGATACGATATTGTTGGATAGGTCTTTCAAAAACATTGGGGGTGTGGAGCAACATCTGTTCGATTCATGGGTCCGTTTGCGAAATATTTAGCATTAAAGTAGTATTTTTGTGGTGGTGACAACGCATCTGCATTTTGATTCGCAAACGAGGATAAATGTAGATGTCTATGGCCCACAGCAACCGCTTACCATCAGATGGACTGTGTGCTCGTTTGTCACCCTATCCTATAAAAAAAAAGCTATGGACTCTCAACTGACTGAGGAAAACAAAAGAAACCCTATAACAGGAATTTAAATAGACAACTAAAGAAAAAGGTTTTTATGTGGTAGATCAACGCTGCATCTATATTATGGTTGTAGCACGTATAGGAAGGCTCGACCGGGGTAGGACCACGCTCTCACAGAATACCAGCGTAAAATAATAACTTAATGCTGCTGTATTTCGTACGGTGAGTGTAGAGAACCGGGGACCTCTTTTATTAGACACGATCTTAGATCTTCCACAGCATCCACTTACCATGAGGTGGACTGCGTGCTCGTTTGTCACTCTTATTAAAAAAAAACATATACGTCTTACTTGGCCCTCTCCTCGGGCGGGTTCCGCAAATACGAAGTAGGAGACCGGTTTATGTTGGCATCGAGTAACTCTGCCTCGCTGTACTCCATGCGGGCCGGCTTCAAATTGTTGTGAGCGATGAATATACTCTGAGGACAATATTACATTAGAAATTATTATTGGATTATCTCTATATATAAAAATAAATTTCAGTCCATTATATAAAAGCTTTTAGAAAAATTTACTTCGCAAATATCCGCGTTAACCGCTAGCGGTTAGCCACCGTAGAGTCTATATCACCTGTGGATGCCTCGTGTAGAGGCGAAACACGTGTCGTATTATCGTCAGTGGTGTGTCTTGCCTAGTGTAGTGGTGTTGGGAGTAGCGGTGCTGGGATTAGTTGTTACGGGGATAGTGCACGCAATCGAGGGAGGGCGGGAGGTGCTCTTCATACTAGGTAAGACACATCATTTTATTTTATAACGCGGATATTTGCGAAGTAAATTTTTCTAAAAGCTTTTATATAATGGATTTCCGCAAAGTAACGCCTGATTCTATTAATTATATTCAATCCATTAGTCTCCCAAAAACTCGAAAATGGGTGGAACGATATTAATGAAATTTTTTGTGTTTGAGTGGGTCCCTGGACGATCTAAACGATTCACAATTGGCCCGGTAGGTGGGGTTTCGGTTTATTTAAAATCTTTTATTAATGTACCCCAAGCTTAGTTTTAACTCATTTTTCTATCGACTTCCAAAAAGAAGACGGTACTCAATTCGACTGTATGTTTTTTTATGTGTGTTACCTCATAACTTTTTACTGGGTGAACCGATTTCGATGATAATTTTTTTTTTGAAAACTGGTGCTTCACATGTGGTCCCATATAAGTTTGATTAAGATCTGACTAATAGTTTTTGAGTTATACTTAGTAATATATATATATATATATATATTGAAATCGGTTGTACAAAACTTTTAATTTTAAATTATTTCATGTCAATCTAATATTATGAAAAACTTGCACATTTTCTTTATTTTTTTAAGTTATTGACGTTTAACGATATTGATGAAAATTTTTGTGTGTGTTTGAGTAGGGCCGTGGATGATCTAAATGATTAACAATTGGACCCGGTAGGTGGCGCTGTTGTCAAAAATTCAGTAATCACCCGTGCGAAGCAGGGGCGCATGTCTAGTTTAAAATAGAATATATTATAAATCGACGTCAATTATGATCGGATGTGCCTGAAATTCATATGAAACTATTGTGAATCTATTCTCTATTCCTTAATACAAAAAAAATAGTTAAAACTAAACTTGGGGTCTACATACATTAATAAAAGTTTTTTTAAATGAACCGAAAAAATTAAAAAGAAAAAACTTAATATTGATCGTGTAGCTTCTGAACAAAGAAGTACATACAAACATACAAATACACTTGGAAAACAGAGATACTTCCTTGTTGCAGTCAGTTAAAATAACCTCTTTATTTTTGATGATGTTTTCTTTCTTTTTTAAGTCGTTTACTATTCTATATCTTACTAGCGAAGGACTCCACTTTTCTTCGACATCAGATTTTAAACTAGAATTTATGGACCAAGAACTTATATACTAGAGTGCAAAATGAGCACACGAGCCGCCTGATGTTAAAATGATGCTGAGGCCCATACTCACTTACGTCGCCATCTTACAAAAAGAGTTAAACAAAACACTAATTATGGAAACTCACCTTCAGTATCCCAGTAACTAAGGCGAGGTAAGTTTCCTTCACGAAACCAAGTATGGGGAGGTCGAAGAGAAAGTCCATGAGGAACCCGCCAGGGGTTGAGTGCGTGTGAGTACCACTCAGTATCACATTGTTGTCGGTGTACAAATCACCGAAACGCTTTTGCAGGCGTTTAAGGACCTGGAAATTTAAAAAAATATATATTATAGGACCATATTCCCCCTTACAAGTTTTAAGAATACTCGAACATCGGCATCTTGCAAATAACCATCATATTCTATGCAAGGAAGGATGTATCGGCTATTTTTATCGTCCACAAATAAGGTGTAATAGATGAACAAAGACGAATCTTATGGCAAATAATTTTACCAGATTAGTAGATTTTATGTCTACGTGATATTTATATACTTACAAGTATTTATTTGGGGGTTACAAAGCCCCCCCCCCCCCTCCCCCACTAGACTAGTGACGACCTGGTAAAGCATACAGGAATGCGATGGACGCAGATGGCTCAGGATCGTAGTTTGTGGCATTCCTTGGGGGAGGCCAAAGTTCAGCAGTGAACTTGTAAAGGTCTGTAATGATGATGATGATGATAATGAAATATTTATTATCAATATTATTCATTTAAAACTAATTTCTAGAATCTCTAGAATTTTTTAAGTTATTTTAAAAGAAACTGGCGACCCGCGTATTATTTTTTTTTAAATAAAAATTGTCTCGCCTCTTTTCTAACACCATTGCCCATCATGGCCGCATCGACGGAGACGAACACGATCCTCGTGTTGTCACTGTCGTCGTCGTCGTCTGCAAGCACGAAGGCCCTCGCGAACTGTCGCAGGTGGATGCCGTGACCGACCTGCTCAAAATTCGCGTAACCCATCTGAAACAACGTGACAATTGAAGTTACCAAGTGGTAAGACTACATTTCGAATTAAAAATCCGTCTAGTTTTTTTTTTCTTACGTTACCTCAACACTAAGATTTTCTCCTGTATCATGGGACAGTTTACATACATAAATTTCACAAGGGCAAACATCCAGACGCGGTACAATTATTTGTAAGCCATACAAATACTTTTTCCGTGCGGGATTAGATCCCGCGGCGCTTAGCGCTGCAACTCATTACTAAGCCACTGCGCCAGCAAGTACTAATTTTGCGTATTACTTACTACCGCCAGAGAGCAATATATATATAATAATAATAATACAGAGGATTGTTAACAACAAAGAAGTTTTAAGTACATTTTTTTATGATTCCCTTTTTGTACTGTGTTATAAATGTTAATCAGTAAAACCATTGAAGAACTAAGTACTAGAACAGGCACAACGAACAAAATCTGTGCTCAGTGCGGTGCGTGAGTGAGTAGGTGAAAGGAAGAACAGAGTAGGTCCCTACCTTTTCATAGCACAGACTAACCAAGTCTCGGCGTCTCTTCTAGTACCTACGTAGTACATACTCGTATTACTACAACGAGTAAAACTCACTAATTATAATGTACTAGCTGTGCCCCGCGGTTTCACCCGCGTCATCACGTGTCGGAGGTGCGCGACATGACCTAGTTCAAGCATTTTATAATTGCAATTAAATATTTTATTTGGTACTTTTATCTGTCGGCATATTATGTATGATGTAGAGCGAAGTTAAGTTTTATCCACTTCACCCTCCCCCTCCGGGTTGAGCAGTTCTCGCAGTTCTCACCGGGCGACTAGGGTTTATGTGTCGTTCGCGAGCCCTGCCAAGTATTGAATTATTTTAATTTTACATTATCTCTTAAACAATGCGTCCAAATAACATGGTATATAGTACAAAGTTTATCTTCATAAAATTGTCTTGATGATGAAGTAATTTTCGTTCGTAAGGATAAATAGGCCATGCCTAATAATAACGCTCATAAATCACTTTTAAATTTTCAATATTTTTTTGTCACAAAATACCAAATTATGGCTTATGTATAAGAAATAGATATATAGAATATATATATAGAATATGGTATCGCGGACTTTTTTTTAGACGGAGTAAAGATCTATATTTTTCTAGAACATTGTATTTACGTATCCCTAACGATAACACCAGCGTACGCGGATAAATCATTTCGGGAGTGCTTTTTCTTCTGACTTGCTTAACAAATATCCATATTTAAGGCTAGCTGAGTGATATAGCTTACTATCTAGAGTCTATAGATACTATTCAACATGAATCAGGCTATAATACACAAAAAGAGAGTGGGCCCGATGGAATCCCTCCCATTGTGCTGAAGACGTGTGCTCCGGAGTTGGCACCGGTTTTAACGCGTCTTTTCCGGTACTCCTACTCCCAAGGCGTAGTCCCGAATTCATGGAAGACAGCTTTGGTCCACTCGATCCCTAAAAAAGGCGACCGCTCAGACCCGTCCAACTACAGGCCTATTGCCATCACCTCCTTGTTCTCCAAAATAATGGAGTCCATTATAAACTGCCAGCTCATGAGGTACCTTGAAGATCACCAGCTGATTAGTGACCGCCAGTATGGTTTTCGTCGAGGTCGATCAGCTGGTGATCTTCTAGTCTATCTGACTCATAGATGGGCGGAGGCAGTAGAGTCCAAGGGGGAGGCATTGGCCGTTAGTTTGGACATAGCGAAGGCCTTCGATCGGGTCTGGCACAAAGCGCTTCTTTCGAAGCTTCCTTCCTATGGGCTTCCCAAGAAATTGTGCAAATGGATCACCAGTTTCCTTGCTGATCGGAGCATCAAGGTCGTAGTAGACGGTGCATGCTCTGATTTCAAGCCTATCGACGCTGGTGTTCCACAAGGCTGCGTGCTATCACCAACGCTGTTTCTCCTGCATATCAATGATATGTTGCTAACTGGTAGCATTCATTGCTATGCAGACGACAGCACTGGTAATGCCTTATATACCGGCCGTGCCAATATTTCTCGGGAAAACGTCGCTGAGTACCGGGACAAACTTGTGTCTGAAGTCGAGTCTTTGCTTAACAAAGTCTCGGATTGGGGCCGACTAAATCTAGTCCAGTTCAATCCCCAGAAGACACAAGTTTGCGCGTTTACCGCTAAAAAGAACCCCTTTGTCGTATCTCCTCAGTTTCAAGGCACTCCCCTTGCTGCCTCAGCTAGTATCGGAATTCTTGGCGTCGACATATCGAATAGTGTGCAGTTTCGTGGTCACTTGGAAGAGAAGGCCAAATTGGCCTCTAAAAAGCTTGGCGTGCTCAGCAGAGCGAGACGGTATTTCATGTCGGCACATCGCTTGCAACTTTAGCGTAGAGATGTTGCATCTCTTTGCGTATTTTATCGCATCTATCACGGGGAGTGCTCTGAGGAATTGTTCGGACTAATTCCAGCCGCTCAGTTTCACCATCGCACATCGCGACAAAACTCGCGTTTCCATCCATACCATCTGGATGATTGGCGGTCCACCACTGTGCGATTTAGAAGAAGTTTTCTCCCTCGCACAACTTCCTTGTGGAATCAATTACCACCAGCGAATTTTCCGGACCGATACGACTTAGGAACCTTCAAGAAAAGAGCTTACACCTTTCTAAAAGGCCGGCAACCCATCTGCAATTCCCCTGGTGTTGCGGTTGTTCATGGGCGGCGGTAGTCACTTACCATCAGGTGAGCCGCATGCTCGTTTGCCCCCTCTTCTATAAAAAAAAAATTTTCAAATCTGGACTGGTAGTTCCAGAGAATTAGCGCGTTTAAACAAACAAAAAAACAAAAAAAAACTCTTCCGCTTTATTATATTAAAGTATAGATGTGCTCTATGGTCAGTATATTCAATAATCCAATTTTACAATTTTTTTACGTGGTAGAGCCATGCTGCAGCTATATTATGATTGTAGCACGAATGGGTCGGCTCGACCGGGATGGGACCACGCTCTCTTTACCAGCGTAAAATAGCAGCTTAATGCTGTTGTTTCGTATGATGAGTGTAGAGAACCGAAGACCCTTTTTACTGGAAAAGAGGCACTCCATCTTAGTCCAACAAAATCTTAGGGGTGACAACGATTCTGCGTTTTGATTCTTAATCGAGGATGAATGTAGATGTTTATGGGCCACGGCATCCACTTACCATCAGGTGGACGGTATGCTCGTTTGTCACCCTTATACTATGTAAAAAACAAATTACATAATTTTTTATTTTTATGCAGTATTTACACATAATCCAACAAGGGTAAGAGAACCAGTATAATTACATATTGTGAGGCAATTTATTAATTCTAAGTACTCAAGGTTAACAACCCAAGTAGCTATGAATGGCCAACTAACGGAATTCGTGTGTCGTTAAAGCTGTTTTAGTGGTTATTAGCATTAGCGCTAAATCATCCATTACGAGTACAATACTCTTTCAGGCACAAAGCAACCTAAAGCCGCGTCTCCACCAAAGTTTTGTTACCAACTGTTGTGTTGCCAACACGTGTTGGTTACAAATGTTTCTGTAATTACCTAGTGTTAGCAACAAAACTTGAAACAATGTCGGGAACCTTGTTTCCATTTTCGGCGGCAACATCAAAGGAATACGCTTGTTACAAACATTTGTTTCCTCGGTGGAGCCAACATCGGAAACAAATGTTGGTAACTTTTGTTGAGTTGTAAACAGTTGAAAACATAAATGTTGTCAACATTTTTGGTGGATACGCGGCTTAAGATACACAGGGCTGTTTTTTTTTTATATAGAATAAGGGTGACTAACGAGTTTAGCTAATGATAAGTGAATGCGGTGGTCCATAGACATCTACGAGTACATCTATCCTCAATTACGAATCAAAATGCAGCTCTGCGTTGTCACCCGCGAGGACTAAGATGGAACGCTTCGTTTCCAGTACAATAAGTATTATGTAATAATTTATATAGAATAAAATGTATTCTATTCTATTATTATGTCATATTTTCTAATGAATATGTAATGATCTAAAAGTAATTATTGTTGTACATTTTGTAGTTGTAGTAAATAAATATATTAAAAGTATATTTCATTTCCTATATCGCTGTGGGTTATTAAAAATACACAGAGTATATAATGACATTTTGACGGTTCCATAGCGCAGTGATTTAGTAATGATTTGCACCGCTAAGGGCCGCAGGTTCGAATTACGTACGGAACAAGTGTTTGTATAGTCTACAAATAATTATTGCGGTCTGGCTATTTGTCCTTAAGAAATTAATGTATGTAAACTGCCCCCAGAATACAAGAGAAAATCCTAGAGTGGAGGTGAGGTTTTGACTTAAAAAATTGGATTCTCATACGAGGCAAATTAACTCAGACCATAAAAATAATAAATAATACTTCTAGTAATTCGTTATATTTATGTAAGTACTTAGTCTCTATTGTTGAAAGTCAGAATGTATCCAAAAAGTCACGTATGGCAATTCGTAGTGAAAGTTGGTCCATAGTAGCTGCCTACCCCTCTGGGTGACAGGCGTGAGTGTTCATGTCATTTACCTAGTCCTCAGACCATATCACAAGTGCTTACCAAATTGCTCAAAATAATGGAAGTAAACTATTAAAGTTTTTAAGCGGCAGAGCAACGAAGTTAACTGCAACCCAACCAAACCATTCCGTGGATGATTTAATAGATGGCGTTACTATCCACTTTAAATCAAGCTGAGATATAATATTTCATAATCAAACTAGCTGGTACCCGGCGCATTACAGCCGCAGAAGAAATAATTGTGTAAATATCGTTTTAAATTTGGAAGGGTTATATTTTTTTATTATGAGCCATAATACATTCAATGCAATTATATGATAAATGACTTTTATATAAATGTTTCGATCCGATACGCGTGCAATCAATCCCACCCTCCCTCAATTGCACGTAATTGAGGCAGGGCGGGAGGTGCTCTTCAAACTAGGTAAGACACATCATTTTATTTTATCGAG